AGACTGTGGACCTGCTCTTTTTAGTGTGCCGTTGGGATTTTCTTGTCTACCTATCCTTAAAATCTTTACCTATCTCAGAAAATCCTCATATGATAACACGATAGGTTGGGATCAAATGGAAAGTACAGTATGATTCGGCCCACAAAATCATCCGTAATCAGTAAAAAAAAAATCAGTCATTTCTCATGATAGACTTCTCTGATGTAGCCTCACTGACGCTGTTTTTTTTTTGTTTTTTTTAAATTGGAGGCAACAAATTAGTGGGAACCACCTGTAGTCCCAACATAAACATAAAGGTTGTGACAAAGGAGATTTAATTTGACGAAAAGAACGTGGAAAATAAACTCTACAGTTTAAGCTGGATGTGCAGTTTGGACACAGTTGCCTGAAAATGACCCTTTTTATCCACCCTATTACTTAAAACTTATTTTTTTGTTAGGAGTCTAGTTTGTTAGCCAGACCCTTCCAAATTTCATCACCAAGGTTGGTTTTTCCAAACTTGACCAAGTTGTTAAGGATACATGGGTGGGTGATGATCACTTCACTGAGAATAGAATGAAATCTCTACAACGGCTCTTTGAAGTGGTGTTGAAATTTAGCTTCCGTAAAGTTGGGGGCAGTTGTGCCGGGCGAGTTTGAAGAAGATGAAAATCAAAGCAGCTGAGACTGAGCCGCTCACTCTTTTAGTCTCACGCTTCCTGTAATGCCATTCAATCCCATGTTACAGTTAAACCCTCCCAAATGGAATCATGAGGGATTCTTTTCTGAGATTTGACAAAGCTCCCCAGAGTCACTGAAGATATTCTATATACACACACACACACACACACACACACACAGACACGTACACACTCACTAGTGCTCTCTTTCATCAGACTCCCCTAAGAGATGAAAGCAGACACTGTTAGTCTTATTGTACCTGTAATTATCTTGATTTTACATCAGGGATCACAGTTGGGCTGAGAGCAATAAGAAGCCATTGTCAGCCCTTCAGAACACAAAGTTCTGGTTTTTCTTATGTGCAAAATATATATTTTTAAAACAGTTTGAAATGGCTTTTTCCCTTTTTTTTTTAATCCTGCTCTGCCCTCATGTTTCACATCTCGACTGGCACATCGGCTCTAAATTGCACGCCACTATTCCCACAAGCAGCAGTGGGCTTCTATCAAACCCTGAAAATAAAGAAGAGGAAAAATTCTTAATGCCAATCTATACAACATTAATAACCCCCCTGACTTAGCAGGCACATATAGAGAGAGCAGCCAGACTGCAGGCAGAGAATGAGGTGAGAACTCCAGAGCGCTCTTGCCCATGACAAATTATCATCACCATTGCAAAGGAATATTAGCCTGCCATGATGGATATTTTCAGAATGTGTAAGGCGAAGCCAAGCTGATCAGAAACACTCTGCAGTCTCCCTCTTGGGTCACTACACAGGCCTAATTGCGCCACTCTGTGGCTGGTGTGCAAAGGCTGCCATCTACTGTAAGACAGAGGAAATATGCCCGCCAACACAAACTAAGTGGGATTCCTTGGAACCACATTCCTCAATGCGTTCTTGCATTGAGGCCTGTTGCTAAATTTCCAGGTGATTGAAATTCTAAAAGGCTTTTGTAAGTTAAATACGTTACCGGTCAAATTCTTGAACATCTCAAACCTGTTTTTTTCTGTATTTTACAGAGAGTTCAGAGTTCAGTTATTTCAATATTTGAATTCCATAGTCCTTCATTGTTATTTAAGATATCATACAGCATGTAGTTCCACCACCATAATGACTCAACATTGTTAATTCTACTCAAAAGTCAATTCTTCCACAGCAACAAATGAAAAATAATGTATTTGAAGGGTGGAAAGGTTCGGCACAGTAGACAGGGCTGCATCTCCACCAAAACTACAGCACCTTCAGCGGTACTAGTAACCGGCAGTCAATGTCGGTCTTTTTACACAGAAATACATCTGACAAGCGATCGAAATTACAAGACAGACTATTTGATGTTTCGTAAAATTTATTCAGAGATTCTGGATGGTGTCAAAGGAGCTGCCAGATTCATCCAATACGGTCTAAATCTGAGAGGTCCTGGAGAGCTCCAGGATTTTTATCAGGAACAAATGCATTTCACAGCCCATCCTCTTGGTTGCTGAGTGTAGTTTTAAATTTCTTTGTTTAGCTGTTTTAGAAATGTATGTGTAATCCAAGGAGCTCTCAAATAAAAATATGATTGATGACTGTAAAAACTAAAAATGATAAAATGAAAGAAAGTTTGTCTCCAAGATCACGCGAAAAGAAGGAAGAGTCTCATTTTTAGAATTCAAATAAACACGTATCAGGTCATGACTTTCTGGTCCTCTCCAGGTCTTGAACTTGGCTTACTGTTACCTAAAAATAAACAGCGTTGCATGATGTTTTGAACCATATCCATTTTTTCTTGTCTGTCCAGACCTATCACCAGCTGAAAAATTTCTGCCAATTACGAAACACAAAATACAAAAACAATAAAAGATACTGTACACAAACATTAAGATGGGATTGTTGAGTCATCTGGGATTGTGTATCAAACAGAAATGGGACAAGATTCCATCCTCAAAGGTCCAAAAATGCTTTTCAACAACTCCCAGGCTGCCCTTGAGGCATGCAGTCAACATGAAGTATAAGAGAAGCAAGTACTTTTCATGCAATTTATTTATTGTTTTTTAAAAACAGGGGTTAATAAGATTAGCCTGAAACCGCATTCTCCTTTTCAGTGAAACTTTTTTAGAGCTGGGTTTTATGTTTTTGTAAATATGGCTAATGACACTCTTTGACAAAGCTGTGTACATTTTAAATACTTTTAATAGGCTTATGATCATTATGTTTAATCACATCGGGAAGTGGTTGTCAATACAGTCAGACGCATAATGTTCTGCTCTGTGGCTGCCTATTCATCACGGCGGCCATCTGCTGCCGCTGCCATTCACAACAAACTAGTGGGCCTCACTGATGTGCCAGAAAAGAGGGCACAAGCAAACTTGATAAGGAGAAAAAAAAAACTTGTAGAGGATTTTTTTTTTTAAACCATGAAACAGCAAATTCGAATATTTGATAGCATCAGAGGGCTGACAGGGACGTCATGTTTGTGTTATTGGCTGCCACTTTGAAGATAGTTGATCAGGCTTTAAGCACAATTGCTCATAAACGATAAACGATAAATGAAAAGAGTCTCTCCATAGTGTCTGCGCTGCAAATCCGTTATTGGCCACTTTACGGTTGTTAAAATTATTTGACAGAATCGTCTTGAGTGCCGCACAGCACAATCTTGCCTCTTATGCATTCCACTGAATAACAATAAGTGCCTTTTTTAATACACCCAATGTGATTTTCTTCATTTAAAACCGACGAGTAGATTTTGTGTATACCTAATTTGTGTCCACTGACATTTTATTGTCGACCTCTTTCGGTGCCTTTTGAGCGAGGCACAGCAGTAGGAGGAACACGTATGACGGCATGTCAGGGGATTTTTTCATCTGCCATCCACACTGATTGCTCAAAGAACAGAAGCAATGCTGAAGTTGTCAAAATTCTAAGTAACCATTACAATGCAGGTAGTGGAGAAGGTAATCCATTAAATCCACTTCGACAACTACGAGTGGACAAACCTGATTGAGACCACTGAGTATGTCATTTGTATGAACTCTTCGTCCTGCTTGGATATGAGTATGCATGCATCGATGTGAAGAGTGAAACCCATACCCCTGTATGTGTCTGAGACCAGCGATTGCCCCCCCAGAAGCCGCTGGCTCTTACTGCCCTGAAGAGCCCCTAGTCTGTTCATACCCATATCAAGCCAGACAACATAATGCGAGTCAACCATCAGTCACACTCCCTCCGGGTGAAGCTGATTGATTTTGGGTCCTGCTACCGTGACATCCAAATTGTGTGAAGGGAGCGACATTCAGACCACTGGATGCAGGGCGCCTGAGGTTAGGCTGGCCCTTCCTTCCACTCCATAAAGTTATGGATGTGTTGGCTCTTGGCGGTGTTCTTGTACCTTTGCCAGGCCTTGTATCCTACACATTGCAAATATGGGGGGGGGTATGTTTTTTAACTGGGTGAGAAATTCTAAAGAGACTGATTTCTAAAGCGGATGCTGGATACTCAAAGAAACAGGAGATTAGAGTAAGCAGCATGGGGGTTGTGATCATTTTTACTTACTAGATAACAAGTAGGCTATGCAGCCTGTAGGACTGTAAGATACAAGCTTATATGTATAAAGGCATCCTTAAGGGGACTAGTAGATCCAGACGAGGGGATCATTCATGTAAAGTTCCCTATCACATTCTCGTGATTATAAAAAACCTTTTCTGATTCTGATAATGGTCCTTATGTGACCCTAAAAATGTTTTTAAGAAATGACAGTTGCTGCTGATAAGAAACGGGAATACATCACATTTCATGGTCAAAAAAAAACCCTATCAGCATAGTGTCCTTGGTGTAAATGGGTTGTTAAGTGGTATGTACGGAATTCAGGACATCAACCCGCTGCAGTAGTTTTCTGTCTGTTCCATAATAACAGCCCAGATGTGTATCTGTAAAACTGAATCTATTCTGTGAACGTGAGGCTGCGTTTGGAGAAATATTTCTTAACTCGTACTTGAGGGAAATTTAGAGCTTAAGAAACATGAATGTAAAACGGACAATGTGTCGTTATCTGCTGAAGTGTTCGTTTTTGAGTGGGATGAATCTAATAACATCTGAAACACATGTTTAGTGTCGCTATCGCATGATGAAATAAGTCAAAGCTCTTGAAATAGAGTGTTAAGAGTGCCATTGTAGGACTCTTTAACCAGGAAAAGCACTCAACACACACAAACAATGAATGAAAATAAACTAATACATCATGAGAATATCAATTGCCGAGAATTTTTGCATTTGTGTGACAGTGACAAAAGCAACAGGCACCTTAAGTTTGAATTCATGAAGTGCTATAGTGACTTTGGTTATTCTGATCCTCTTTTACTCTGAGGGCAAGTTTTGCTTCTTTTTAGTAAAGTAGGTTAACAGTAACCATTTTTTCTTTTAAAGGATTGTTATCTTAAAGGAACACTAAAGTCTTCACATGGAAGAAAGCTCAGCTGGCTCAGCTAGCCAAACCTGAGTTAACTTATTTTGTTAGCAGCTTGGTTTAAATGTTCTCACAAAGACTCCAGTTAATTTTTTTGAGTTTGAAATGCGTTTTTGTTCGTTCATAAAATGATCGTCAATGAGATCATCAAGATTTATTTTCTTCTTTCTTTTCAACCGCAGACAACAACATTGATCGTCATGTTTTACTCTGACCTTTTGCTTTTCAGTGTGTGAAAACGAATTTAATGGTACATTTAATGGTACAGAATGACAAATGAGAAGCCTCATAAATATGGCTCTTTGAGTCAGGGTCCCTGGTGCGGGCTGAGAAGTCTCACAGGCTGAGGAGGAAGCGGTCCACCTTCATCATGTACGCTGGTTTCAGGTACTGCTGCAGTTCACTTTTCTTCAACCACAGCAGAGAGCTGTTTGGAGACTTGGATGGAGGGCCGTCTGCCAGAATGGCTTTGAAAAAGAACACCTTGGCTCCGACTGAGCTCTCCGTCCGAGCGGCTTTGGGCAGTTTGTACTTGTACACTCCGCAGGGGGCGTTTCCGAGGAAGGTCGCCCTGAGACCGGCCGCTGTGGGGAGAGCGAGCAAACTGTGAGCTCAATCGGGCGGAAAAAACAAAAGTTGAGCTTACAAATAAAACGCTGATGTGGAGGCGGCATCCATCATGTTCAAGGCCGCTGCTGTGGTTCGTTACATTTATCTGGGTTACCGGTGTTTGACTGCTCTAATTAAAGTGCTGTATCAACTCAGTCCAGTGTCTGTCGTCCTCTGTTGTGAAAACAACACACTTTTTTAATCTAATCTTGTGTCGTGCCAATCCCCGCGGTCTCGGGCCGGCTCGACATGAGAGCGAGGCACCAGCACTGGCTTGTTAGAGTCAGTTCCCTTTGAGTCCGGAGATATTAAAAATATGGATCAACTCACGCCGCTGTGAGACACTTTAAATAACAACTCACAGAAAAAAGCTTTACGCTAATGTTGAGTAAAGATTCTTAATAGCAGGCACTGGTAACACTTTGCAGCTAAAGTTTTTGCAGCTTTGCAGCTAACTTTCTCTAAAGTTAACTTTCTAAAGTTAATCCAAAGTCATACAAAGAACATACCAATTTATTAGTTCCATAGCTTCACTGTGAGGAAAGACAACAATGATTAAAATAAAGATGGCATGGGTATCATGACTAAAGAATATTTCTTGTTAGATTAGAAAGATTAGGAAACCAAAGTTTGTTACATCAGAAATTGGGAGGTTAACACACGTTGGCCACTTATTTTAGGACTGAAAATTATTTCAATGATCAAATTGCTCCTTATAAACGATCAGATTACTTATGTTTACTGACAGCAAGGAGGTAAACAAGCATGTCTCACTGTGGAACAAAGTACCAGCATACAGCGCATCTGACTGATGGCAACGAGGTGAATCAAAGGTGATGGAATCAACGAAAATGAATTACTTTGTATATCTTACCATCACCGAAAAGATGAAGATGTAATGGAAAATAATCAGTTATGAACCAAAAATGAATCCATCAGAAGCCACATGAGGTCTTCCGCATCACTTTTATAAAACTTTCACCTCACGCACACTAACAGAGAAACCAATCGTATTCATGATGCTGTTCCTCCTGTGCATTTACAGCAGAGTGTGGAGGACAGGAATAATTAATCTAACAGTGTTTAGACACAAATGTGGGCAGAAAGACACAAGCCATAAGCTATGGTGAAAGCTCGGTCCATATCTGGCTTTTTCAAGAGTTAAAACGAGTATTATTTGATTTTTTTTTTCATCTGAAAGTCAATAGAAGAAGAAGCCATCGAGGCATTGAGCAACGGGGCCGCAAACTTCATCAGTGTGGACAAGTGGAACAGATCCTGCATAAAACATAAGCTGCTAAAGGTAGTGCCAGCTGCTTAATATGCAGCTTTAAACAGAGGAAGAGCACATTAATCAGGGAGGACATGAGATTATTAAAGTCACAGGGGAGAAGCAGAAAGGCTCCCGTACAGTACATGAACAGACACGACTGAGAGCTTTGCGGTGTAATAACACGTGGAATCGCGCACCGCAAAGTTGAGCCGCTCGTGTTTGCAGCTGTCAGGCTCATATTGGTTAAAGTGCCTGATGGCAATTTAAAAAGAGCCTCGGCTGAATTGTCACTGAAGGAACAGTCTCACTCTGAAATTATGTGGGTGGCGAGCTGCGGCGGGAGGTAGACGTCACCCTCCTCTCTTTTCATCCTCCCTAATTTCTGGGAGCTCTTCTTTTGTGCACTTCATCTCAGATAATGAGAGACTGCCCAAAAATTCTAATGCCTTCACAAAGAAAGTAGGGTTTTTCCTCTGTTTGTTTTTTATAAGCCTTTGCATAAGGTTTGGTAGTGCTTAAAATCGTCACTTTGTAACACTGAAATAAAGGGTCAGCTTTGATAAGATTCCTTCTTTTGGCAACAAGTGCTCGGCTGTCCATGACTAATGTAAAAGGGCAGTGAAAGGAGGAAAAAAACTAAGACTGGAAGGAGGAAAAAAAACATCTGTGGGCATCCTTTTTCCTTTTTATACTGAGATGCATAGTAGAAACAATAGCTTGTCAGTTGCATATCCATAAAGCTTTTCCGTGTCCTTTCTCAATTGGATCTGACTGCACTTACTTTAAGTGTCAATATTTGGCAGCAACACAAAAGCGATCCTTCGAATTCTTCTTCTTTGAATACATTCTATTTTCCACCCCTATGCCTCCCTAAATCAGATGGAAGTCATAATTCGTATGAACTCTATCCCATCTGATGAGGGATTCTCCATGAACGTCGCTGTTTTTACTTTGATCTATGAAACGTATAATCATAGAATCATTTAGAAAGTGATGGGACGTAATCTGTACCCTGGAAAATAGGCATTTTTTTGTTGTGCCGCATGTGTTTTTAGAGCCGCAATGACCTCAAACTAAGCCAGTCAGACAACGACAAACAAAAACGTTATAAATCTGTGATTTCCCTGCTGGTTCAGACGTGCACTTAACTGTGGAGGATGGAAATTATGCAAATGAAGTAAGGTGTCCTTTGAGTGGTCTCGTGGGGTCAACTACTCACTTATTGGTCGATCAACAGGAAGCTGAAGGATCTGTCTTTTGCATTGACCAATGGGTGAGTAGATGATGATATCGAAGGAAAGCCTAATTTATTTGCATAATGAGGCTGCAATGCATGAGGAAATGTCAGAACGGATACCGAGAGGTGAGGAGAAGGCATGAAAAGAAATATGCTTCAGGAAAAGAAAAAGCAGGGTAAGAAAATTGATGGGGAAATAAAACTAATATAAATACATCTAGAAATATCAAAAAATATTTTTGAGTAATTAATAATGGTGAAATTATAAACATAATATTAGGGGGACATTAGAGTCCTTGTTTTCATTTAACTGAAGCATTTTTGACACATTATTTATACATCAAGAACATTTTATATTTGTTCATTTTAATTCTGCCAGTTTCTATTCTTAACAGACACAAAACTCCAGAAAATGTATTTGACCGACTCCACTGTATTTAGAAAAGTTAAAAGAGTTGTAATCAAAGCCCGTGCTATATTAAATGAAGTTACCCTTCCTTTTAGTGACCGATATAAATATTAGGATTCTGATTAGACAACATCTGAGCTGCTCATCAGTCTGTGATTGATTTGTTCTTCACATGTGTAAAATCTTCCATGTGATGGAGTCGTGGCCAGAGAAGTCTTTGGTCTGTCTGAGTAGAATTGATTTCCGCCTTATAGTATACAGTTTTGAACTAAAGTGGCAAACATTTCTGAGTGAAAATGGTAGTTTTGTCGGACGTGATTGTATTGGCAAATCGCCCAAGTACTGCAAGGACACATTCATTCAAACAGGTTCCTAGCCTTGGCCCTCACATGCTGACATTCAGCCCAACTTATTTGTTCAGGCTGTTTGTTCTATTTTTCTGACAATTCTCTGGCCAAGTTTGGCAAAAGGTGGTGAGGGAAAAGCCATCCTGCCCAGGACATATTAAATTAGCCCATAAAGGGATTGGGTATGAAAGTAATGCTCCATTAATACCCAATTCTGACAGCCTAACCTGTCCCTAACTAATTTGTTGACAGTAAAATTCTGTAAAGTTAACTTTCAGCTATCAAATTTTTTATTTGATCATATTATCTAAAAAATAATTAAGCTGGTCAGTGAAGAATATCTACTTCGGATACTTGATAAATTACCCATCTAATTAACTTTCTATTTTAGAAATTGTGCCATATCTTTAAAAAAATAACATAGTTCAGTTAATTAAGCAACATGTATGATTTTGATATTTGAAGACAACAGATTCTCCTTTCTTTGCTACAAATAATTTAAAAAAAAACATAAAACCATCTGCAATCATCAGCTTGGGGCATGAAAAAGATTTTGCATTTTTCCTCCACATATTTCGAAATGACTAATCGGGCAGAATGCCTAAGTTACTTTTAGAAAAGAAGCTGTTGACAAAAAAAAACAAAAAGGGATTTGGTGGCTGGGTATTTTCTATAAGAGCTCAGGTTACCTGGCATGGAGGAGAGAGCTCTCTCAGCCGTCTGTCGAAGTGTTTCTCCCTCCTGCCACGGAGCTTGTGGCAGCAGCCACCGCGTCTCTCCACCCACCTGCTGCTCGGCCAGAAGAACCAGAGAGTCAGCCAGACAGCGTTCCAACGAGGTCAGGTCCTTATCCACATCAGCTATACAAATACAGGAGGAAACAGGAGATGCATCACTCTGTGTCTACAGGAATGACAGAAACTTGACTACTGCTGCTGATGGATTCAAAGTGAATTCAGGAAGAAAAAAAAAACTTTTCCCTCCCTGACAATTCCATTTGGATTTTAAAAATATTCATATTGAAATTCACATGTTACTGACCATTGACCCTGGGCGCTGGCTGGAAACTCTTCAATTTCTGCTCCCAGGTGTCTTCCAAATCCTGAGCCAACATGATCTCCTGGTCGCCGGCCCTGTCCTCTTCATCTGAGTCATAGTCGTCTGCCTGCTTACGACTCATCCTCTCGGCATCCTCCAGCAGCCTCAGCTCGTGGTCCGACAGCAAGCTTTTCTCCAATTCCATCTGAAATTAAGTCAAAAGGGAGTCTCTCAGGACACTACCGAGGGCTATGTGCTTATTGTGGGTAGAGCAATGAAAGCCCTTTATTTATAAATATAAATAACAAAAACAATAATAATCTTAATATGACTATGATGATTTAAAGTCCTGAGAATTTGCACTCTTATACTGCATTCATAAAATGTTTAATGTTTTCTGAAATGAGAGTTTTCTAACTTGAATCTGTGGTAAAACTCTATTTAATATTGTGCTTATGGCTGTGATAATACATTCATCTCTAACCTGTGTCGATAGTTCATAAACTCTGGTAACAAGTGTATATTACAGTAATCAACTACTTTTATCACGAGTGTGATTGGTAGGATAATTCTGTGTTATTTCAGTAATTATCCAGGACATATTGTTTCCCTTTAAAGTTTCATTTCTTGCACACACATCACCTGCTGCATCATCTCTTTGAACTGCTGCTCAATCGGATTGCAGTCCGCTGAAATGACCGGGAGCCTTTGCAGACACACTGCAGCCATCAACGTCCAGGGAGAAGTTGTTCTTTCCGTGACAATGCTCGACTGAGGAGACGCTCGACAAACAGGAGCGACAGAAAACTGGCGAAACCCTACTTTCCGAACGGGTGCCCTGCTAAAATTTGACAAAAACTGTAAGAAGGTCCGACTCGCCATTCTTTGACAGGGCGCCGCCATCTTCCTTATGCTGCGTTCGGGGTGTTTGAAAAAAAAGTTATGTTTACCACATTACACCGTCTTGAAATGAGATACACAAATCTAATTGTTGTTTGACTGTAAAACAAAACCCAAACGTTTTCCAAGTAATCTTACTTAAAGCATTGTCTCAATTTATATCAAATAAACAAGAAACAACTGATATTTTGGGGTTCAAACAGTCTTTTATTGTGAGTTAATCTAATTTTCGACCCTTTTTTAATCACTCGAAGGCTACATTTTCTAACGTCTACCCACAATTCAGTTCGGTAAAAACGAAGGATCTATTCTGTAAGAAATAGGGGTGTAAGTTGCATCCGTTAAAACATAAATAATTTCATGCCATCATTAGTCATACATATATTCATATTTATTTTTATTAAAACATCATTCAAATTTTATCATTTATTTTAGAAGTAATGTATAAAGACATTATGATGTTAGTGATGTTTAGATAAACACCCTCTCCCCTCAACAAATCAGCCGTTTGGTCTGAATTTCCGGCACCCTCAATGTCACGTTTGTTGTTTATAAAATCGTCTTGTCTTACGGGGAATTTGTGTTTTAAATTATGTTTAAATACAGCTGTCTGTTGTTTAATTCTGTGAGCAACGTATGCCGGCAGTTGACTGCCTCAGTAAATGCAAATGCCATCTCTCAGTAAGTGTCTTATGGGGTAAATGTGTTATTATAGCACACTGTTAGCTTACATGTAGTCTGTTACATGTTGCACCTCATTGTAATACTGAAATCTATCTATCTATTGAACACATGAAACAAAAAATAAAAAACGTAGTTTGTACACAGGTTCATCTCTGTAACAAGAAAAGGACTAATATCGTTTGTGTTTAGGTATGGAAGTCGAGGACTGCAGCGAACAATATGCAGCAGCTCTGTCAAACAGCAGGAGACAGAAGCGACGTCTAGGAAAGACTTCAGGTCAGCAACACTCATACATATATCTCTTTCATGTTCCTATATTCCATGTTGGAGGATTATTTTCGAAACTATGTATTTCTGCAACACAATTAACTATTTATGTTTTTGGTTACCCTTCAGCTACTTTCCTCCAATGCCTGGCCAGGACAGCGCTCTGAGATGGGCTGGAAAAAAGTTTGAGGAGTTACCTATCGTCCACATAAAAGCCACATACAACAAGTAAGTACATGCACAGTTGCTAGCCACATTTCTGCTTTTGAAATGACATCTAGCTGGTGAGATTTTCTTCTTAAATTTCTGTTTGTCCATAGGGACAAAAGCGGTTTTGTCTTAATCAGGCAGCTATAATGAAGATCCAACAGGTTCTCTGTAACCTGACTGCTTATATCTAACTCTCCCTGGCTGCGTCACAATGTGAGCAAGTTGCCTGATTGAACCTCTGCCCTGCACCAGCACACACATCCAGCTTACGGACAGCGCAGGGGAGTCTATGGTGAGGACGTCCTGCGGTACGGAGGGCTTCAAGAACGTCAAGAAGTCCACGCCCATCGCAGCTCAGACGGCGGGCATCTCCGCGGCAGCCGTGAGTTCTTCGCCTCCAAAGCTCGTACTCTTCTGACCCACAACTGCGAGACGTCGCACTGTAGGATTTCCCATTCGTGACACCCTCTTAGACTAATAGGACTCCTCAATACTAAACAATACAATATACGTACATATACAAAACTTAGTTGAGCTAAATTGACAACTCGTTGCTAAAAGGATCCTCGTTGAGCAAAAATAATTTGATTTGACAGAGAAAGTGTAACACAAGACTTAGCAGGTCATAATAGGTAGATTTATTTTTTTAAAGGAATGGCAGCTTGAAAACTGTTTTTTAGGTACTGAAGTAATTCAGATTTGGTTACAGTAACATGGGCTTATTTATTAAAGTTTTTTGGTGAAAACATAAGGCGATTGGCCGTTTCATTTACAAGAGAGCCATATATGCTTAGAGTAATTGAAGCTTTTGAGTCTGTAGGACTTTAAAAAGGTTATATGAGCTCCTTAAATGGTAATGTCAAACCTTTTCTTTTTTCCTTTTATGTCTGTGTTCCAACATGTGGCACGACAGACACCAAAACTAAATCAATACGTCGACGCATAATGGAAAGGGACTGAAGAAAGGTTAAGGAAAAGCGACAATCAGTTGTGTCCGCGGCTTTGAAACAGCTTCAAAACTTTCTTTTTTTTTTAAATGATATTTTCCAGGCGATAGTCATCTACAGTCCTCTGCTTCCAAAATGATTTTGTTTTCTTTTTTATTCGTCCGTATCTATCACACAAAAGCGGGTTGAGGACTGTCTGAAGTGGTTCTGATGGATTGGGAGAAAAGGTTATGTGTGTTAGCTTTCATAAGAGCCCAATTCAACTGTTTCTTCATACTTTGCCGGCCACAGATGAGGGGTTTTAGAGAAACTGAAGAGGGGCAGATGCAGTGGACTTACAGTTTAGCCAAGGATTGAGGATGATGAACATAAACAGTCTCCATGGAAACTGTAGGATCTTCATTGCCATAAAAACTACCAGACATTTCTACCGTCTACGAGACACATGATGATGAGAAATCGTATTAAATTTTTTGTCTACTTAATGTAGGGATGTGGATCAGAAGACACACACACACACATACGCTGACCTCCTGTTTATCTTCTGTTCTCTACAAACAGAAAGCCACAGCAAAGGGAGTGACGTTTGTTCGTGTTTTGGTCAAAGGTCTTGGTCCTGGACGTCTGGTGAGCACTTGTTAGATGTTCTTCCATGTTGATGCTGCTCATAATAGAGACGAGTCTTGATCTTTATGCCCCACATGTCCACAAAGAGGAGAGCAGCCTTAAAGCAGTGGAGCAGTTTTTCTCTTTTAAATAGTCATCTACTAAATCACCCACATCTTAATGAAAAATTTAGAAAAATGCAACAAGCTTTTTTATAGCCATGTTAAAGGCAGCATGTCTGATCTGGCAATTTCCTTGAAATGTGCTTTTGTTTTTTTTGGCCGGCACTCAAACATACGTCTGATTGTGGGTGCTGATTGTTTGACATTTGTTAGTCTCCGAGGGCTTTTCTTTTTTTCTTTTTTAGTTGAACCAAATTGTGGCAAATATTGAGATTACGACATAAAAATGGTCAGTATCCTTCTTAACTTTCAATTAAAACCCCAGCATCTGTTTTTTCTAAGCGAGTCTTTGCTTAAACCAACAGTTTTGACGGGATGTACCGGTATTTTAACTAACTTGCAACCTACGGCCGTGTCCTTTTCTTTTCTTTTTTTCCTCCATTGATCTAAGAGTGGGTGTTCAGCTCGGGAAGAATGAACGCAGGCCTCTAATTAATTTCAGACCTCCGTTTACAAGAAGCCGCAGTCATCTCGATCCGTTCCCTTTAGCTCCGCTAACGACCAAACGTGTCCCTGTCTGTCGCCGCAGTCTGCAATCAAAGGCCTGACGATGGGAGGCCTGGAGGTGGTATCCATCACCGACAACACCCCCGTGCCGCACAACGGATGTCGCCCACGGAAAGCCAGAAGGATTTGATGCTCGAGTGCCAGAGTACTTGGCAACAGGGGAGGGAAGGGGGGTTGTTGAGATGTACTATGCTAATAAAGTGTTTTGTTGTGTAACTTTGTTTTCCCTGGCTCTGAGCTGACCTTACATAACGCCTTCTGGGGGAGTGATTGCAGATGGAGCAAACGAGCTGACGACAGGTTGGGATTTGATTGGACGCGCTAGCGAACCTTCTCGCTCACTGCGGATACGGTCGTTATGTGTCGAGAGACGATTTCTTTTTCTTCTTTTTTTTAAACAGCTGTCCGTGTCGCTGACAGTGAACACAAAATCACACAAATGGATGAGGGTGCAGCTGGTAGCCATGGAAATGGAACCTCCCCTGGGATTTTGGAGAAACCTATAGTGTTTAGGCAGTTTAAAAACTAATGAATGTCTGAGTACGAGTACTCTGACCTTTGCTCTGCAGCAGAAGTGTTACTTTTTTTCGGTAAAACCAAGCTGTTGTCCTCCACTTCCAGCGGCAGACAAACACACACACACACACACACCCACCCACTGCAGGATGCTCTCCCACCACGCTTGGCTTTTGGGTCAGATCTTTTAACATCTGTTGGTTTTACCAGACTGCTTCCATTTGATATCTAAGGAGGCATTTTAGCCTCTTGGTACCTGCTGCAGACATTTTTCCACAAAATTTAGTTTTGCTCTAAGAGTCTTGGGGATAAACAAGCAGTTCTCTTTATTTTATACTTCACTTATCATTTGAGTGTACACTGTTAATGGTCGATACTTCTGTTAAAATGAAATCTGGCGTTTTTGTTCATAATCGTGTGTTTCAGTGTTAGCATTTTAAACATTTGGGATAATATGTAACGTTGGAAGAGGTTTTAGAAATTCCCCTGCATTGCAAAGTCACTGGAATTTTAGGGCTGTTTTTCTTTTCTATTAATCTTTACAGAAACAGAAGTAAACTCTCCCCATTTGAGGATGTGCGGTTTAGCAAATGTGCCCCTCCACTTTGCCTTTACCTTTACAAACACCCACATAACAAACCTAGTCCCCAAAAAAGCTAAATTAATTAAATTCAGTGATTTACATCTCATGAAGCGGTATCGAAGGGGGAAAAAATGACATTTGAAAGTGAGAGATGGTAGACTATGAAAACAGGATGGAACGACGAAATCTGTAAGATGCTGGAAGTGGAACTAGAATTTGCAGTAGGACTAACACGGTGAGGTTCATCATACGGTATATGTGTATATGATCGCAAGTACACATGGAAATGTTCAATCTATTCTACCAAATCTGAATGTTAGACAGAAATATAAATTAGACAAATGACTCTTTGATAATGTATTTGGATCAACGTTTTAGATCTAAGTTTTAAATCTTATCCGGGTGGGATATGCAGTTGTTGGGTCGTGTGTGCGTCTTTATGTGTATTAAGAGTCCTGAAAGGGGTGTGGTCAATTAACATGTCTTATAAACATTTAGATGAATGCTGAACTATGTACAAGTTCAGCGCAATTTATTTCAAATTCTAATCTTAAATGTGAGGAAAATGTTCCAGTTACTAGAACAAAAAATGCAGAGAAATATTCAAAGTAAAATGTATGTTACATTACTTCTTCATTAAGGAACTCATAACTGAGCCAATTTTCCCAGCCAGTGTTTATTTATCATGGCCTGATGCGCAGTGGGGACTGTGCCAGCCAGACAAACAGAAGTCTGAAGTTGTTTTTGGACATCACAGATGCTGCATCTTCCGGACCAAAAAAGAGGAGAGGGACCATCTGGCTTGTTATCGGCGTATCTCTAACGGGCCGAGTGCATTACGAGACCCTGATCGGTGGTAAAGTTCAGCTCTGCAGCCATTCTGTTTGAACAGCTGAAGTGCTGCGTGAATTGCTCTAAATCCAAAATGTGGAGCGAAGACTGTAGGTATTGCAACGGCTTGTACAGGGCCTGAGATAATCAATCATGAACACATCTGAAGACTCATTAAAACCTCAAAGAAAAAAAGTTATGCTTTTAAGAGCATAATAATCTTATAGTTTTATAAGAAGTATGACGGGAAAGTTATTCCATTTCTGACATTGAAGATGCCCCACATGACTTTCTCTAAAGAGAGGATGTGATCTTTGGACTGCCTATATCTTTCTTTTTTTTCCCAAACTGTAACTGAATTTAAACTCCTTGAAATCTGGATGACATTGTAAGGTAAATTAATTTTAGCCATAAAGCAATAGACAAGAAATTGTCAGTAATAATGATAATTCCTCCAAATGACAAGTTACACCAAGTACAGAATTTGCACACAACAATTCTACAAAAATACAGAGTTTTATTTCAAATAGCAGAGATATCCTTTTTCCTTTAAACAAACAGCTGAGCTGGATTATGATATCGTAGTCTCCCTCATCAATAGGTCGTCAGCCGCACACATTCAACGAAACATAAAACGACAAAAACTGAGCGTTTGCCCCCAAAGTGCAACAATGCTTCAAGACAGCCGCAAACCATAAATATGTGATTCGGTTTTATATTCATACATAGCGTCCCCGGGAGCTCTAACACACATAGAAATAACACCAAAGCAGCTCACGGATGAGGACGAAGAAAAACAGACGAGGAAGAGGCAGTTCTGGGTTTTTTTGTTTTTTTAACTTTGGAGCTTTTTTAAGTCAGGGGGCGGAGTGATAGGCAGCACGCACAACGGTTTACTAATAATCATCCCAGGTTTCTTAGTGCCTTCCCTTATCTGGAAACAATGTTCCCTGCGAGTGTCGCTTGCGGCCGACGGTAGTGGACAGAACAAAGGATTGTGTCTGACATTTCCCTCAGACTCTTTCAGACTGCAGCGTTTGCACACCCTGACAAATCATAGAGGATCTAAATCTCTTCTGGGCGAGCGCAAGTCACGAAGGGGAGAAATTCCATTCCGTTTAGTGAGGAACTTGCCTTAACAAAGGCACTTAATCACGGACTGTCTCAGTGAAGCAGCCGTGAGACCAGGTGGTTTAAAGGTGAAACGCACTCTGATAAAACAGGAACTTTGTATTGGATGCAGATCGAGCGTTTAGTGCCCTCTTAAATATTGCACTTTTAAAAAGCTGTAAATGTGGGGATCGAATATTAGAGGAGCGGGAAGTATTTGGACATCCGGGCCGTTCATTAGGGACAGTGGGGTGTTGGCAATGTGAGGACAGAGCAGGAGTAGATGTGCTGGATCTAAGGAGTATAACAGGAAGAGCTTCCTCACTTTCCCTGCAGGTTGCTCAGCTCTACCTCGTCCTTGCGGCGCTTCTGCTGCGTGAAGAGGGAGCTGAAGGGGTAGAGTTTGGCTTTGGCCGGGAAGCGCTGGCCGGCGATGTCCACCTCGTAGTCCCCGCGGTTGATGAAGTCGGGGGTGATTGGCGTGGGTATCCCGTCGGCTCCGGGCGGCGGGGACACGAAGCCCAGGCAGACGTGGCGTTCCAGCGTGTAACTGTAGGCGCTGCTGGTGGTGGCGCCGGCCAGCTCCCCGTTGCGGTAGATGGGCTCGCCCCACCAGGGCCACAGGTCCAGCTCGGTGTCGTGGTCCTCCAGGACCAGCATGACGAAGCGCCGGAACACGCCGTCCTGACGCTGCTGCAGCAACGCCTCCCGGCCCAGGAAGTTAGTGTCCTGGGTGGAGGAGCGCACAGAGGGGGAGAAAAAACATTCTGAGAAGGAGCTCGTAGAAAGAGCAGGCCGTGAGCAGCTCTACTCAAACAAACTCAAAGTTTGAATAGACAAGCGCGTCTCCTCATGAATGCTGCACGCTCATTACGGCAGAAGGCCAAAGAATCCGATGCTCCGCATAAGACTCACAGCAGCCTGCAGGTGCATCGAAACGGCCCAATATACCCACGCAAAAGCTGAATGCTTATTCGAGATCGGATGTCAGGATACAGAGCGGATCGGCGGCCAAACCCACCTTGTCGAACTTGACCCGGAATTCCCGGCCACACTCCAGCGGGGTGGTGAACGTGTCCAGGTCCTGACCCCAGAAGGCGAAGAACTTCTCAATGCGGAGGCTCCTCAGCGCGTAATAGCCTGCATTGCGGATGCCGTACTTCTGACCCACCGACATCACCTCGTTGTAGACGTGCAGCGCGTACTGTGAGGGGCAGACGAACGCAGCAGGGTCAGCTATGAAAAAGCAGGGCCGGCACACGTGTTTCCTCAGAACAATGAGATTGTGCCGAGAATAAGAAGGAGACACTCAGATCTGCAGCCCAGTGAGTTTAGGTGTGACCTGACCTACATTAATATACTGGCAGCTCTAAGGTTTTATGGATCAGACTGCAAGAGAAATTCCTCAGTGCTTTAAAGATCACAATAAGATGGGAGAATTTTATCCCCTTTTTAAAAAAAACAATCTCTTTTACCATTTGCAAGGTCAATAAATGATGCTATACAAAGGTGTTGTATGCCTAATTTGGAATATTTTCATATCTCCATAAATCTCTCAAAAAATATCAGAAGGTATGGTATTCTTTGCAGTTTTAGACTCATTTGCAATGTGTTGCTCGAATAATGTATGCGAGTGTGCGCGCTGCACCTCTATAGGGATGTAGAGCATGAAACCTGGTTCTCCGGTGTGCGTCATGCTCATCACCCTTATCCCATTGGCGTAGCCCACGCTCATCTCCTGAAAACACACACACATATACACAGGCGGTTGGACACCGAAAAAAAAATAAATAGACAAACTATTAAAAACCAAAGCCAGGAGCCAGGGTGGTTTCATTTAGTCTGTATTACCTTGCAGAACATAGAGGGGAAGTGGTCTGGTGTCATGGAAACGTATGACAGCTCAGCCAGCACGTCCATTGCACGCGGTCCGATCAGATTTAAAGCTGCGGGTAAAGAGACTCAGTAAACCTTTCACTGCAACATCAGAACAAACTCAAAGTCCACGTTTATCTCTCTGGATGCAGACTCAAACTGTAGGCAGAGGCAACTACATTTACAATGCTAAACTCAAAACAGGGACATGCAATTAACCACCCTCCCAAATTGCTTGATTCCCTTGGTGTCTGTCTCACTATGTTGAAAAATAGCTTCCTAAAAAGTTGCTGGCTGACTGAGGCGCTTTAATGCAACCAGCATGTGCTCCAATAACCGGCACACCTGTGTACTTCCAGCTGACATCCTCCAGGTGGAGGTGTGGATCACTGGGCATGTGCTTCTTTAACCAGGACCAACAGTGGACCTGCTGGTCTGTCGGAGAGATGATAAAAAAGCTGAAAAATGAAAGAAAAACATTGTAGTTTTTTTTTTTTTCTCTTCTTCTCAGGGTCATTAGGAACGAGACGCGTTTGGGATTTGCAGCCAGATGTTTCGCACCTGCTCTTGCTGACGCGCACCACGCTGCAGTCGTTCTCATAGCCCCCCCTCTCATTCAGCATGCCGGTGTGTACGATGTGTCCGACGGGGACGTCCAGGTCGTTGGCGCACAGATGCTGCAGTAGCTCCAGCGCCTGGTCCCCGGTCGACTGAAACGTCAGGACACGCACAGAAGGCCCCACATATCGTTTACTACGGGTGATGCATTGCTCATCCCGGGAATTCTGCTCCGAACTGTCCAAACTTTCTCAGCAGCGTTTCAGACTCACAGTCAGTTCAAACTTGGTGAAGGAGGACATGTCGATGACGCACACGGCCTCTTTGCAGCACTTCACTTCTGCTCCGACGATGTCGAACCAGTCTGGCTTGTAGAAGGTCTTACTTTGGTCCAGAGATAGTAGATCTACAGAGGAAAACCAACCATTCATCAGACAACCTCCCACATCCACCAGCAAAGCTCTAAGCCATTTTAAGTTCCAGCTATAAAACTAACACCTGAAAAACTGTTTTTTTAAAATGTGACACAATTATGAATAATTATACAACTGTTTAGAGCTTCAACACAACTTAACGGTCTTTAGGAACTCTAAATGTTGAGTGTGTGCACATTCTGTCAATGGGCTGTTGTCTGTACCTTTCCCGGGTGGAACAAAGTACTTGGGCCTCTCGAAGCCGTGTTTCTCCATCCAGCGAGCCCCTTGTGTGTCCAAGCGGTCGTACAGAGGACTGGTCCTCAGCTGGCGCCCCGTCTGAAAGTCCCACCGAGGAACCTTCAGCTCATACAGCAGGGCTGGACGGAAACGTGCACACGCACACATTAGACGCACAGTGACTCACAGCAACTGCGCTGAAGTGTTTTTTTTTACGCACGCATGACTTCCATGACTCTGTGTCGCAGGAAGGTTCGGCTGCTCTGCAGGTTGCCGAAGCGTTTGATGTCCAGCGGCCAGACGTTGGCAGTGGGGTAGCCGTATGTCATCCATTCTGCCAGGTACCTGCAACCCAAACCACACAGCGGGACGTTTGTGATTCACCGCACAATCAATGAAAGCACATCCCCATCACAGAGATGATCACTGTGATTAACATGTTTGTTTTTTTTCATAGCTTCAAGTCCATCCTCTGTTTAATGTTTTTAGTTACCAAAATGAGTGCAATTACTGTTCTATAACCTTTTGTTAAGTCCCCGCATACGGTGTAGGATATCCTCTGGGCAAACACTCGGACTTACTTGCCGGCTCCTCCAGCAAAGGCCAAGCCAGAGGAGTTCATCCCTGCCAGCACATAATATCCACACACCCCCGGCGTCTCCCCCATCAGGCAGCGCATGTCAGGCGTGAAGGACTCAGGACAGTTGACCAGCTGATGGATCTCAGCAGATTCTAAACTTGGCATTCTCCTCAGGAGGGCACTGAGCATTGGCTCTGAAGGTGGAGGGACAGAGCAGGGTTACTATACAACGTCACACGAATATTCTGCACAGAAGCTTTCATACATGTTCAAGAAAGAACAGTCATTCCCCGCCTTAAGTCACATTTACCAAAAAGCCTAGATCCTCCTGGCAAAGAAACAAATCTACAAATCATAATGCTCTTTACAAATAATCTTTTTTTTTAAAGCATTTTGCTTAACCACAAGAGGCCGGTAATTACTCAGAAAACAAAACACAATGCAACAGAGTCTTCCCTTGTTTTGATTTCCAAAGAATAAAGTCTAATCACAGCAAACCTCCCTGACTGAGAGATGCAACCAGAACCAAATGAAAAGAAAAAACCTCTCAGCTGTCTATTTACATGCTGATAAATACATTTTTGTTGTAGCTGTGACATGGGGGGGGAGCAGTGCTTTAAAGACGTCATATAGGGTTGGTTGTAAGGAGGAAGCTGAAGTATAAAGAAAACCATGACAAATGAGCTTGACTTGTGAGATGTGGCGGTTCAGGTTTGGACTGTAATAAACTCCTGCTTTATGACAGCCTGTCATGCTGCACAAGGACTCTCAGATTACTCTCATCAGGCCAAGGCCACCAAACAGGTGTGTGTGTGTGTGTGTGTGTGTGTGTGTGTGTGAATTTCAATGTGCCTGCTGAGATGGATATGTTCCATCGCAATCATAACTCATCAAAAGCATACACATACTATATACATATATATATATATATATATATATATATATCTGATCTAAGTCCCTTACCAAAGTGATCCCAGTCTTCCTGCATGCTCTGGACCTCCAGCTGAGTCCGGCCCTCTGTGAAGATGGGTTTGGGGTTCTTCTCGAAGCCTCCTGACAGAAGGCCTCCCTGCCATGTTCTCACATATATCCTGCCGTCCATGTCAATAACCACTGAGGAGAAGAAGCATGTCCCCATCAGACATTCTGGGCATTATGTTTCAAAATGGTGAAAGATGTTTCACAGAGAGAAAACAGACAGCGGACCATCTTCCAAGGATGTGCGTCATGAAGGACAGAGGAACATTGGGAGACAGCTAAAAAACGTATCAGCACAGTGCTGGAGGAGTATTTGAGTTTGTTGTCCAGGCTCAGGAAATGCACAACTGCTCTGTGTACCAAAGAATTCTTAGTCAAATCTGAGACAGCCGATGCTTGGCTGAAAAAGGATCATGGAGCAGATCTTAAGAGAGGAATATGAAAAGAACAAATAATATATAAATGGTCACAAACTTTCATTAATTTAAGGGTTAAATATAAAGACTACATGACCAGAATTCTTGCAGCCTGTGAGAGTCTTATGGTACCATAAAGAAAACTATTTGCTTAAAGTATTGGGCCTAAAAGCTCATGAATTTAAAGAATTGTGGTCTCATTTATAAAAAGATACATACTTTAGTTCCCCACCACATGAAATGAGACAACTGGAAAGGATATTTTCTTAGATCCTGATGTGTAAACCATTAGATATCAAGGAAGATGTGCTTTCTTTTTCAATTGATTTAAATGATCGGTGTCAATAAAAAGGGAAAAGCCTATTATGTATTTTCTTCATCTGACAATTGAAATGAAAGAAAATACTCGGTAAATGTTGCAGTGATTAAGCTGAATTGAATGATTCAGTATTCATTGCCAAAGGGAAATGTGCTCTTAAAGGAAACATTGGGGTCAAATAATAAGATTAATCACTAAATCAAATGAGAAGTTACTGACGTTTTCTGATGATAAAGGTTTAAAATGAAAGAGCAGCTGCTACAAAAAGAGGATGTTCGTGTTATCGAATCACGAACCTGGAGCGCTGGGTGAAAGTGGTTCCTGAAGAGGTTTGGTGAGAAGGTAGAAGTGCTCACAGCCATGGAGGGGAACAGACACCTTCACCTCACTAGCCTGGCCCAGCTCATATGCCCACTGGTGCACAAAAGATAAATACATCCATTTACTGAAAAACGGCAGAATGAACAGACCAAATGAGACAAGCTTTGCTCAAAACTGGAGACGAGGTGAATGGATACACTAACTTGTTTTTACAGCAAGTTTACGGTGTACAATAATTGCAGACATTTTTATCAAATTTGATGTGTAATCACATAATCACACTCTGAGCTGTACCTGGCCAGCACAGTTGACAAAGTATTCACATTCGATGGAGCCGCGGTCAGTCTCCACGGCCATCACGTGGCCCTTTTCCACCACCACCTGCTGAACACTGGTTCGGTCCAGGATCTGAACCCCTGGATAGAATGAGAAAAAGAGAAAGGATAAAGACAAGCAGTAACAGAATTACATGTAAAACGGGCATGGGTTGAATTTACCTTGTCCGGCTGCAGCCACAGCCAGAGCGTGGTTGACATCAGGTGAGGACACCACAGCATCAGCAGGCAGGTGGAGCGCCCCCACCAAGTCATGAATATTGACAAGAGGATGAAGTTTGGCCACCTCTTTAGGCTTGATGATGTTACAGCTGATCCCCATCACCCTGAAAAGATTGTGGAAGATTTAGACTCAAGTCTAGCACAAAGTTGCTCCAGCATCCCACTCAGACACTGTCTCTAATAATTGTTGACTTCCTGTCTTACTTGAGTCTTGATGCCAGCCGCTTGAGAGAGATGAAGCGATCTTGATTTTGTGCCAGACACAATGAACCCGTCTGCACATAACCTGCAACACAAACAAGAAGTTATCAACAAAACACAAAATTACAAATAGGTAATCCAGACATTTAAGGTATGAATAGAGTCATCGCCTTAAACTAGGGGTGGGCAACTCCGGTTATCGAGGGATATTTTAGAGTTTTCCCTGCTTTAACAGACCTGATTCACATCAACACAACATCGACAGTCCTGTGCAGAGCTTAACATTTTTTTAGAAGAGGTCCATTTTGAATCAGGTGTGTAGAAGCAGGAAACCCCTAAGACCTATATAACAGCACCCCTCGAGGCCTGGAGTTGCTCACCTCTGCCTAAAATGGTGCACCTTCCTTTTTATTAAGCCCCACTTTTGAGTGAAAACAAATCCGGATTGAGTGTCTGACCTGTTTTAACTCCCGTCTCCTCCTCCAGCCGCTGATAAAGATTATTGGAGTAGTTGGCCATCTGACATTCAATGGAAATGGGCTTAGCCACGCTGACAATGCCAGCACATAATCTGGTTGTACCTGCGCCAAGTCTAGGAGGGATGACAACAGTCAATATATAGTTAGGAGGGCTACATCAAATCAAACAGCTTACTTTGTACACTCAAATGTTGCAAATAACCCCAGGTCGCTGGAATAGAACGGGTGTCCATCAGTATTGCAAGCATGACTGAGCTGTGGCTGTCTATGCCTCAACACCACCAGCTGATAAGAGAGCTTACCTACAGTTCTTGAATATACATTAAGCTTAGCTAAAGTCTACACAGTTTGATCTTACCTGCCCTGTTCGAGCAGAACGATATCAGTCCAGCCTAGTTTGGCCAGGTGGTAAGCCACGGACGTTCCGACAACTCCCCCTCCGCAGATCACGACCCGGGCCTGTCCGGGGAGGGGGAGCGGCTGGGAGTCACCCCCAACGGCCAAACACTGGGGGGAGGTCCGGAGGCCCCTGCTGACCAACCGAAACCCGGCCTGGGGATGCAGCAGCCTCGGGAGCAGGGCAGGGGACAGAGCCCTGGAGCTCCGGACACAGCTGCACATCGCTGTGTTTACTGCAAGCACACAGGAGAGCCAAAGATTCACACAGACGGTTTTGTCTATACAGAAAATCAATTTAAGTAAGGATAACGGAAGGATGCTCAACTCCTCATTTAGCGATGGACTTTAGTGGAGTGAAATAAGTTACTCATTGAGCTCTATAATTAGCTAAATTAACAAGGGCTAACATATTGGACACATGTTTTAATTATGTCAGAAACATGACGTGAGAAGTTCGGCGAGATAAACAAGAAGCACTGCTCAAACCCATGATTATAAAGGGTTCATTGCTGTAAAGCACCGGCATATACACTTAGCAAAACCGTTAGCTTAAGCTTGCGTTATGTACCTGCCCTTGGAAATTGTCTTGAACCCTCGGCTTAAAGACAAAATACATTAACTTGCCAAATTTCCAGAGTTGCGTAAAACTGTCCTGACTTATTAAAGGTTTACTGCCCAGAGGGCAAAGTTAACATTAAGGGTGTCGTAGATACCCTGCGTAGATTACGCTAACGAGAAGCTAGCTAATAGCTAGCCAATAGTTTGTGTAGTCAGAAGTTTGCTGACTACACAAACTCTGCGGCCCTCTCCGGTGTTCCAATCATTTTTCACTACTACCTTGAACTCACCTAATTTCTTAAAGACCAGGCCTGATAGTTTAAAGACAGAGGGGACTGAAAGTGACAGTAATATGAGTAAAATCCTAACCAGCTTTCCAACCACCTTTGACAACAAACGCTGCTTCCGGTCTCAACCTTCAAAATGAAAGCACTTGACATTGATCACTTAATTCAAATTTGATTTAATTTCTCTAAAGTTTTGGTTTTTGGTTTATTCATGGACACATACTATCTTATCTATACACCATCACGTTTTATCTTGATCTTTGCGTGCCCGAAACACATTAAACTGAAGCGTGAGAACAAGCCTAAAGACTGTTTCTTTAATTCATTTATTTATTTTGATTTGTCTGCAAAAGAATCAGATAGCATATTTGGTCTCTATAGCCATTTGTAGGGAAAAATGTAACCTATCCTGAACTAATAAACCTGCATCAGAGTTGTTGCTGACCAAGCGGGTATGAATAATTTTGTGTCCTTGGGTCATACACATGTAGCCAGCCATGCACAATAGTGACCACTTGAGGACGCTGAAAGCCTGCAGGTACCTCATAGAGATCTTGCCAAACAGGCACACCATCCTGACATCATTGATCTTTACAAAATGAACAAAGTGATCTTGTCTGAAATAGATCCCTGTGCTTGTCAAATAAAGAACAAACTTATGTAGCTTCCAGTCTCTGCTGCAGTGATTATAGATGGTCATAATGTTAAGCTACTGCAATATTTGATTAATGCAGTATTTTGTTTTTCTGCTGGGAACTTTCAAGTCAACCCTAACTGGCAAATGTTTTATGGGTTGTATTCTTTTTCTATCTGCTGAAGTGAAAACCCTGTTTTCCTTTCCTCATTCGACCAGACCTATGTATTTTATGCACCTATGACATTTTTGGGGGAATTAATTTGAGATGGTTTTCCATCTTTACCAACAACATTTAATGTTCCATGTGCTTTAGGAAAGACACCACTTACATATATGAAAAGCTTGTATCTTTCTGCATAAAGTTTTAATGTGTTAACAAAATGGAACAAAAGGGAAATTCTTAATGTTAATTGATTCATTAAAAATTTTCTTAAATGGAAGCCATATACCCATCAATCCCTAATGATGTTAAATGTATTCACCAGTGTAATAGATTTATATTGATATATGTAGATATAGATATATACTAAAGGGAGTCCTTATTAATAGAAAAACAATATTTACAACAACCCCATGATTTGTTCAAAAGCTAGTCAAAATAATTTTGTTTAAAAAAGGTCAAATATCTAATAAAATCTAATTTAAAGGAATGGCTTCGCTATTATAAACAGAGCTGTAAATTGAACAAAATAGAACAAAATACTAAAAGACACATAATCAGTTGCTGCATGACAAGCCATGAAGGAAATAGTAAACTATATTTATTGACATTTTTAAATTCAGCTATTTACAAGTTCAAATACTGGGCAACCAAAACACTTCACATCGGTACAATTCAAACAGCTTGTTTATAGAGAACGTGACATCGAAACATAAGAGTCAGTCAGATTATGCTCACATGTAGATGACTAGTGTCATAAAATATGAACAACTGCTCCTTGCTGTCTTGTTCGTCATTCATTTAAACTGCCTGAGTTAGCCTGTCTCAGGTATATTTTAGAACACATATAAACCAATACATTTTAATTGTGTTTCAACACATATTCTTTTATTTAACACAAACCACATTTACTGCTGACACTCGTCTAATCGAGATATCAGGACATAAAATAAACAACAAAAAAGCCTCATCCTCGCTGATCTTTGAACTTGGCCACTAGGTTGAGGTATGACAAAAAGAGATAAACTACACATTTCTAACAATAAAAGTGCTTTGTTGATAAAATATCAGTGGGCAACAAGAACAACAACAAGAACAGGAAATAATGATTACACAATTCTTTTTAGGATTCAGTTCAATTGTAGATTGCAAAATAAATATACAATGAATTATGCATTTTGCTGCCAGACTTGTGAGAGGACTCAAGGATAAGGACTTTCTCCAAAGGGAAACTTCGAGTAGATTATGGGCTTCATTATTGGTATAATCGAATTGATGTGTATCCTATTATAGTAATGGAATTAGAGTTCTAGGATCCAGAGCTGGACAAGGGCCTCAGAAACAGCAATGAATTGTTTTAGGCGGAATACATTTTCCAAGACTGATCCATAGGTGTCTGCCGGACAGACATGTTTACAACTCGGTCTGATAAATTGACTCAAATAACAGGGTTGAAAATCAGAAAAGGTCACCTTTTGTTGTGGGACAATAATGACTGCAATAGGAGTCTTAGTTAATGGGCTGAAGTACTTGGTAAGTTATATATAGCAGATTCAGTAGGTCAACGTATTTTACCACTTGCTAAATAAGATCAGTGAAAACCCATCAGGTTGTTCTGTTAATGGCGGGGGCTCGTAGGACTACTCTATTAAACTTCGTTTTGTTGGGTGAGGTCTGACATGCTGTTAAACTCAGTGGCCCGACTGCTCATACCCAGATATTGCTTCAGGAATTCGCTGAAACGTTTTTGGTTGTTCCACTTGCGTGCAGACTTCCGAATGCCGATAAAACCGCCATACCTCTTCTGGTAGGATCTTCCCGGAGACATCAGTCTCCTGTAACCGTGTCTTCCTTTGACAAAGCCACCAAACCTTTTAGAGATGCTCAGACCTGCCTCACCCAGTCCTGTTTTTGCCATCCCAGCATCCTCTCCTAGCCCTTCTGCTTCTTCTTCATACTCATTCTCAAGGGACAATGCATTCTGGGAATCATAGGCAGCGCTCTTGCTATCCAGACCCCTATCATTCATATCGAGTGCCCGGGCCACATGGTCAAACCTTTGTAATGCAATGGGCAGTAATAGATCTTCATTCATTTGTTCCTCTTCTTCTGGAAAAAGAGATTCTGCCTCTTCTTGAGATCTTTTTCTTGGGGTACCATCTACAGAGGAACCGGGTGATGATAGTGCGCTACGACATAGGTCCCAGGAGAAGGAAAGGGACCCTTTGCCCTCACATTCAATCAGACACACCTGGCAGAAACAAAGGCAAGAAATCATCTTTAATACATTTTTAAATCAGTTGAGGGATTGTCATTTGCATGACAACTAGAGCTAGATACATATACATATTAAATAGAGAATATATTCCACAAAAGAATGCTGGAATACCTTTAACTGGTAACCGATTTTGAGGAAAACTTGAGTTCTTGCTATCACTTGATTAGCACACCCATTTCTCAGTGGAAAGACCACTATGTAGAACTTAAATAATTACAAGAAATGTCAGGAATGGGGAAAACAGGAAAATCTTGTGAAGATAAGTTAAAGCAAGGTGTTAATTAAAGAGTACAGCAACTAAGTAGATTCCAGTTTTTGAGATAACTCGTCCTCACGTGTTGTATGATCAAATAGCTCCACTCCGCTGGTCCCTTTAGGTACCACTGTGGGATACTAAGTACCCTACACTGACTGTTCAGAGCGTGATTTCGTGATCTAACTACTCTTAGTTTTTTTTTTCAGTGTGCTGCCTGCACAATAAATGAAACAGAGAGAAAGAACCACTGGCAAAATGAAGGGAGCTGCACACATCAGTCCCCTGCCATGACAAATTAAAACTCAAAAGCCAGGGGGTAATTTGTTGAGTCAGTCAGGGAGTCTTCAAGAGGACAGGGTCAGTGCAAGAAGGTGGAGTGAAGGGTTTCCAGTTATTTCATCATCAGATGAGTCCCAGTAGAGATTTTTTTAGGGGGGAGGCAGTTCTTTAGTGTATTTGTGGGAGTGATGTCCAGGTGTGTAGATGTGAATGGCCTGTCATCTACAGTAACATTTCAGAGAATGGTCTGAAGTGACGAACATCCCCTTGGAATGCTTTTTTGTTTTCATTTTTCATCTCTAGTGAAGCACACCTTTTAGACCCTGAGCAGAGGCTATCTGACAGTCTGTGATTGCTACGATGGTGCGTATTTATCTCACCGCGGTTTTGAAATTGAGGAGCTTGGGCAGGGTTTTGCTGCAGGACAGGCAGTCCGCCTGGCAGTCGCTGCGTCCAGGGTCACACAGACAGAGCAGCAGCAGAGCCACCAAGGTCTTCATGGTCCCACCGCCTGCTGGAAAAAAAGACTGTAAATACATGTTTTCAGTCCTACCACGTGATTTTTGCTGCTTTTAACACCAACTCTCCCGACGGTCTTCTTACAACATGAGCGCTTGCTTAACCACCGTACGGCAGAATTAGTTGACTCATTTATGTAAGTTCAGAAGGCTCCATATTATCATGTCTTCGTCATTATCATTTGCGTCATGCTTTCTCTGACAACGGAAAGTATTTTTTTGTGGTCCAACTGAAATGTGCTTTTAAAGTGTCAACAAAAAGCTTCCTGTGAGAGATGATGTCATGTTTTGTATCTTATGCCTTTTCTCAAATAACCCATAAACATAGCCCCCAATGAATCCAAACCTCACATAGTATTTGCTTAAGGCTCTAAAAGTGTTGCGAGGTTAATTAATAGGGACACCATTTTGCAAGCGTCGCATAAAGTTTGACTATGAGATGTTGAACAAAGTTTAGTGTGGCCACTGTATGGAGGATTCACAAAGCTGTGAGAGCAGTAAAAATCTTTTAAAGGTTTGTCATGTGTGATATTGTTAGACCAAGAGTCACAAACGGGAGCTTAATAGCGTTTGAGAAAAGACAATTATTTTTCTCATCTACTCTGATGTAAATATAATTGTGCTTTCGTGTCAACAGGGGAGCACTTCTGATGTTGCTCGACCGACTGTTTCCGTTGGCAAATGTGCCTCTAGCAAATGAAAATATCCCTTTAAGGTTTGTTTCAAAAGGGGAATTGAGTCACTCACGCATATAACTTCTAATCGAATATTGGTTAGTTTACCGTACAATGATGGCAAAGAGAATCAAAAATCCTTTTTCCTTTTTCTTATTTGAAATGTACTTGACCGGCAATGGAATTCTGAAAGTATTTGGTCTGAAAGCACCAATGAAAATGGCTTAAAGTTGAGTGGTTTGGATTTGAATAAAATAGGTCATACTGGAAGGACACAGAAAGGATTTAAAGAGAAGAAGAAGAAACATAAGAGGAAAAGGAAAAAGAGGTGAAAAATGCATAAAGCAGCCGTGAGGAAAGCAACTGCAAATAGTGATGACAAGGAGGAAATGTTTGACCTTATTCTTGTGGGAGAAGTCCAGACTGGTGAGTCTGACGTCACAAATGCAACCAGAGTTTTCATCTCATTAAACAAACTCGTTAAATCGTTTAATTGATGCCTCAATTAAGGCCTCTGGCGACAAAATGAGTCATTGTTTTCTGTTGACAAAAACCCACACAGAAAGCCTCTTGCAATCATTACGCACAGCAGTAAAAATTCAAATGGCCCAAAAAGTAAGCAAACTTGGACATAAATACATGTATTATTACAAATATCTGTTGGATACTGACTCAGGTCCTTCTAAATTACCTCTATTTTAGGTTAAATTTGTTATCTGTTAAACTGTCTTAGAGGAAAGTAAAGGAATGGGTCCAAAGCCATACACTTCTATGATGTCTTGTAACTTGGGAATTTGTGAGGGCTCATTAAAAACTAATGAAGAATTTAATTGCACTACAGTTGATTCGTAATCTCTAGCAGTCCAAAATGCAGCAACTCCGAAAATGAATCAGTGTTCATGTATGGAAAAATAAGGTTTCTCCTCATTTTCTTTTGTATGATTAAAAAATAGAGCTTCGACAGTGAAGTAAGGTGGCAAAACATCTCCAGATTCAGCAGGAATATGTGGGCAGGCCAAAACTGACAGATGGGAATGGACTCAGACAAACAGCTTGGATTTATCCAGTTGATTAGAACACATGTTGTCCTCTGTCATTGACTTTGACTTTGCATCCAAAAGTAGAAAGAGGATACATAAAGAAGCCTTCACACCTCATATCTCTAGTCTCCACTGAGGCATGGCAGCAAGATGCAAATACAGGTGTGCCATCTGTTTGCTTAACTATGGGAAAAGAAAAGTTAATAACAACTTGCACACCTCTCCAGGCTCCATTCAGAAAAGCATGTACAATACAAAAGATAAGTGGCAGGAGAACAAGATGATCACTTCTTTTCAGGAGAGACATTTTAGAGTAATCTTTATTATCCTCACCTCCAAACCGATTACATATCCATATATGTATTTAACAAGCTTTACACGGCAAATCCTTGAGATTATCTGAGTAGCCAGAAGATTACAATGTGTCAGGGTTTTGGTGTGGTGGTGTGTGGTGAGTGTGAGTCCTCTTCCAGAGGGAATCGTCTGCATACCTGGAGCAAATCATCCCATTAGAGGGCGGGCCTTTTTCAGGAGCTTTATTATCTATGTTGGTACCCCAAGCATTCTTGAGAAATTCCTCGTGGTTTTATTCTGTACAACCTTCTGTGGTCTTCTTATCTAGCTTCAAGTCACCATGTCTCCTGCATTTCAGGTTACTTAAAGTTCATATATATATATATATATATATATATATATACATGAAACTGTTGAGTCAGTTCTGTGAGGGTCTGCATTGCTGGTTACAGCCTAGCACGGTGAAAACAATGATCTTTTAGGTACAAAAAAAAGAGAGCATCTGGTTAAATCATATCTCAATTGTTTGCAGACGGTGAATAAACCACATGTAGATTAATCCATACCTAAAGCTGTCTGCGCTGAATTTGCTGAAGCTGTGAAAAAGCCCCTCTTGTCAACCATGGAAAAAGTACAGCCCCGCTTTTTCCCTCCATTAATCCCATTTCCTCATCAAGAAAAATAAATTACTCTCAGCTAGTAATGCAACCTAAAGCTGGATTATTTACGCGTGGCTGAACAGAGGGGCTTTGAGCATTTGTTCTGGGGAGTGTTTTTATTTTCAGTAGCTGGTTTGGAGGTTATTGGGCAACAGCTAAATTGCTGTCAGTGCAGCATAGGAGCATCCTGCTGGAACTTTACCTGTATTTGGTTGTTATTATTCAACACGGAGTTGTCCCCTTGCAAGAACAGAAACGCTGTGGCCATCATGTTATTCATGAAAATAAATAATCTGAATACAACATTTGTTTTGAGTCTAATCACTCAGCTCTTAGTCTTATGAACCATGTATTTCATAAGTTGTATTTTATATTTCAAGCCTCTATGAAGTTTCATTATCATTTTGAAGATGACACAGACAGTTTCAAGATCCACTGTCATGGTTTGGAGATTATTTTGGACTGTTTTTGGAGTTTTGTTTGCTTTGAGTAGTGATTTAGTTAATTACTTTTTTGTCTTGTTTCTTTATCTTCATTATTAATCCATGCTTCTCCTTGTCTATTGGGTTTCTGGCATTGTTCTTGATTTTGTTTTATGTATGATTGTATTGTTTTCATGTTTCTAGGGTTTGTTTTCTCTATGTTTAGTTATTGTTTTTTGTATCAGGTTCAGCTCCACCTTTTGTTGGTTTTATCCTAAACCTTTTTATTTTTCTAAGTTGCATGATTCTCTGCATCTGTGTCTCAGAGTGAGGCCATTGCGTCCATGGTTGTGAATGTTGAAAGTAATTGAAAAGTTTTGTGTGGGGGCCTCCACAGATGGGGCTGGATGGCACTCAGTGTCGCAGGGCTGTGGGTTCCACTCCCAACCCAAGCCCACTGGCATTGGTGCCTTTGCTCAATGGCCATGAGGTTTGCAGCTTTGGCTTAATGCTTCATGGGTGCAAATGTTTTCTCAGGCATTGTGGCCTTTTCTGCTTCCGACAGAACCCTAGGGGTGAACAGGTTGGCAGTCCTCTGAAACGACTATTAAACAATAGTTCATAACAATTAAAATTCAGAAAGAGCCCTGTGATGTATACTACGTTTTCCACACACACACATACTTTCACACAGACACCCACTTGCACACATTTACAAACACATTTTTGCTATACAGCTGCTGTTTCATCCGGTGGTTTTCATAATCAGTAACCATGGTAATGTTTTCATATTTTGGCTGTTGGTGTTGTTGCTATTCATTCATTTTCCTCCGTTTGTCTTCCTGTGGGCGCTTCTGATGGATCTTTGCCTTGTTTTCCCACAGAAGCTGTGCAGTCTTTTCTGTTTCATTTTTCTGGCTTTGGTTTTACTTAAATATTTGCTGTCATCATTGTTGTATTTTTTTAGACTCTTTTTTTATTGTCCTTCTTATTCTAGCCCCCTTTCTTTGTTACCCCTGATACATAATTCTACGCATTAAAAAAGCAACAGAAAAAAACTCTCAGACCCTTATTCTGTTTGCCATGATGCTGGAAAGATTAGAATTTTAAAACCATCCTGTAATGAGTTGATTTACATTAGTTAAACAATGGCTTTCGGCATTTTAAGCAAAAGGGGAGGAAGATTGAAGCTAAATAATGAACAACTCAATAATTAGAGCGTATTCTTGATGTTGGCATTGTTATTGGATGAGTCCCTTTGACAGGTAATTAAATGTTATTTAGTCTTTTTTCCAGCAGCTATTAGTTGGAAAAGTCAGTTTGAGTGACAATATGTCCCAGGCCCACTCAACATGCATTGAGTTTTTTGTTGCGATATTGATGTCTACCTGGCAAAATAGCAGATGGTCATTGATTTGACACATTCCATGACAGTAGGATCTATGCTAGCAGTCAGAAGGATTAGTTGTATAGAACCTACCTTTGAAACTTCCCTTCATACTATCCCTAGCACAAAGCTAACTGTCATCACAGACAAAACATGCTATCCTCCTACTTTTATCCATAAAAAATGTTCACACTTTTGAATGCATATAAAAAAAAGCAAAAATCCATCCTGAAATGTCCTTAAAAAAATTGTGAATTAAATAAATGGGAAACATTTACATTTAATAGCTTCCCAACAGGGAAAACTATTTTTGGTGGATTAACCAAGATACTTCAAGTATACACTTCTGGTAAAGTTGGTAAGAGTTTTTATTTATTCATTTCAACTAATAATAGAGTTATTATTTTTTATGGATCTTCACAATCTCCTTGTCCAGGGGTTGTGAAGGCTGCATATAAACTGGCAGATGTTTGTGCTGAGTAAGGTCCACGAAGCATTTGAGATCCCATTAGTGGTAAGCTGTTACCTCTCGATAGGAGCCATTAAAAATGGACCTCACTAGCGTTATATCAATTGACCCTCTCAATGCATCTAATTACCTCAGCTCAATTAAAGGTTCAGAGGTTGAAAACATATTTACAGCAGACTCATGTCATATTGATTTTTGTTCATATTTTGAAAGCATTATTTCTTGTAATTTATTTCCATTCATTTCCATTTCCACTCATTTCAACTTTCTGGTGCTAGCAGTTATAACGTCTTTACCCATTAAGTGTTTTATGCTCCAAGCAAACATATGTGTAAATTACAGCTTTCTTTTTATGTGTGCGTGTAAGAAAAAGAGGAGATATTTCAACTGTTTCTTGCCTTGATCATCATTGGGGGAATGAGATGACTGGCAGATAAATTGAACCAGCTTGGAACCCATATAAGGACTATAACAGCAATATCAGGAAAAGGGAAGGAGAGAAACCGGGACCTTTCTGTGTGAAGTTTGCATGGATCATCATCATCCACAACCAATTTCAAATTCCATGATGCCAGTCTGAAGAAGTATGTGGTGAAAACTCTTGATGGATTATGTTTGCTACCTTCACAAGGAGTTGGATTATCCTTCCAGTGGTAGTATGTTTCCGTCAAATTATATTTTCTGTGAAAAACAACAATGAACAGACTTGAAATGACTCTTTTAAAGGCTGACTGAAGACACCTTTTGCAGCTCTCATCACTGTCAAACACAAAGAATACTCAAATAAGAAATCTTTACTATAAGACCGTGTTTCCTGCAACTGGTTTCCTGCCCAGATATAGTACCAAGATGATCAGTCAACAAAGCAGATAAAAGAAAAGATAGGGACCTATTTACTCAAGCAACCACATTCACCGGGAGCCAATTCACTAATGGTGTGTAAAATACATGAAAAAGCACAGAGGGCAACACACAAACATAAAGAAGAATCCATGAAATCCTTGCAGCACACATGGATGGAAAGGGACCCCCGCTGTGTTAGGAACATTGTATACTTGGATTAACTCCACACGTTCACAACAAAATCAGTGATGCTGTGAGGCCTGTGTGCAACAGCACAATATGGAGTGTCGACCATGATCCTGCGCTCCTCATTCTATTTCCCCATGCAGGTTTTGAGTCAAAAATGGCAAGGGTCAGAGAAGTTCATTATTAAGATAATGAGTTGTACCATGTCAGAGATGGAATAAAACAATTCTACAATGCTGTAGAAGGGAGATAGATTTAGTATTGATTGTTGTTACTTAGTAAAGTATAAAATCACTCCTTCCTCATGTTGTGTTGTTGAGACTCTGCCACGTAAACATTTTCTTACCGTATTGACCTGAATAAAGTAGGTTTTGTGAGTAGGTTATGGTACGTTTCAGCAGTCGCTACATCACAGTATGGTGGGTAACATCAGGTTGTTCTTTTTTCTTTTTTAAGGCAAGAGTTTATTTTTGTTTCATAATTCTCTCAAGGTGAAATGAAAAAGGTGCCCAAGGCTAAACAACATCAGATTAATTAGTCCCATTTTAAAGTTCATTCCTGGCCTCATAAAGGTTTCATGACAGAATTAAATGCTAACACATGCTTATTAGTAACATATATGCCTGAAGCCAAAAACAGAGTGCTATTATTAGAACCTCTTTAGAAATATTTTGTCTATATTAAGCAATTTTGGATTTGCCTCACATATAATTTATGTTGAATTACTGTTGTCTTGAATATGATTTTTTTTCTAAAAGTAGTGATCATGAAAAGGGACCAAGAATTTGGTCAGTTTTCATGCACTTATTGTATATATTTGATGGCATTGATGATGCACATATTCGGTAATACTGTGAAGGAGCAAAAAGTGAACCAGTAACTAGAACTTTTTCTTTTCTTTAAAGTTTTTGTTTGTGCTCATTTTGTGAAAGCATTTCTATGCAAATAATGCTTGGGGTTTTGCTGCATGCTCTGTATACATTTCACCCTCATCTGCTCTGGGGGAACAAAGTAATTGGGGAAGCTAAAAAGAAACCACGAAAAATGATGAAATTTAGCTGGAAGGGGGCAAACCTCACCTTCATAATAGGAGAATTTGGCATAGGAGACCTTTAGAATTTTGCAAGGTTTCATGGTCTTAATAGAGCAGAAAATGTATGTAAAAACTTCTAAAGAAAAACCAATCATTTGAGGGATATTTCACTCGGCATGAAATTACCTGTCTCTTCAATACAAAAAAAGGCCTTTAGAGTCGTTCTGGGCTCCCTTTCAGATTAACAAATACTTCCTGGATTGTATGTGACATTTAGGATGTTAGTATAGATGCCACATATATTTTATAATCAACTTCACATCAAGATTAAATTACGTTGGGGGAAAAAAGTTTGTATATTGTATCAAGAATAATTTAATCCTTTCTATTTCTCGATTTCTCTTTCTTTCAATTTCTATTCTTATTCAATAACCCTTTTATATTTGCTTTGATAGTTATTCTTTTAAGAGCATAAAGGAGAGAGAACACAATCGAATGATGAAAAAGGGTCTTGTTAAAACAGAGTTGGGTTATCAACAGACAAGAAAAAAAGAAGTGAAAAACGCCTAAGCCTATGTTCCCACAGAGTGAACCAGACCCTCTGATGAATTAAAAGGTTTTTCATAAAAAAGGACAGGAAGTAAGACAAGACATAAGGATAGAGCTCAAATAAACTAGCCAGAATTAAAACCACAGACAGTTTGGGTTGGGTTTGAGCCCCTGCAGCAAATTATATTCCAGATGTGACCCATCAAATGCAATCAATAAAATCAATTTCTAGGACTCCTTTCAAGCTTTTTTGTTTCTCCATGAACCTGGCATAGTTTGTTTCAGTGGATGAGCAGGTTCAAAAAGTCAACAACCAACCAAACAAAAAATGATGCCTGAGTGAGGGCGAAGACAGCATTAGTTTATCTAAAAGCAGTCAAAATTTCAGTTGCCAGTATATGAAATAGCTGAAATCAGAATCTGAATCCCATCTTATCAGATTCGAATGAAAACTAATAGCAGCCTGCAGGTATCTGTTGAATGGAAGATGCTACTTCTCATAATATCCATAAAATGTTACATGTTATTTCCCACAACCAATAAAAATGTTTGTGATGAACAATTTGCCAGGTTATTGTCAGAAAAAAACTGCAAAAAAGTAACCTTCAAGTAAATGAGTTTTAAAATCTAAAAGAGGCACTGATTTAATGAGTTGTGCAAAATCTTGCCCTTATTAACCACCATACACATATTCAAATTGCTTTTCATTATCAGGTGTCTGAAGTAGTAGTGTAAATGCAGATAAGATCTTTCTTTGAAAAACCCCCATTCATTCATGGAACCTGGAAGAGTGCAGAAGTAAATCAGACGTTAACGACTATGACTAATCAGGACCAGCAATTTATGACCTTTCTCTTTCACTTTGTGAAATACCACCGCACTTCAGATGCTGCGTCTTCACTGTTGTGTACACTATTCCTTCCCTTTAAACCACTCAGACTGAGGCCACTTAACATCACTGGACTTCATGGTCCGTAGTTCTTCCATTCCATTTGATGATGCACTGATTCATCAAACACAGAGTCGGCTGCATGAGGCGCTGTTTCAGATCAGTCCGTCATTAATCTGTAACTACAGTTAATACCACTGGAGGACTTAACCCTTTAAACTCTGGGCTATTTCTTGAATGGTGATCTTGAATAAAATGATCTACATTCGGTCATCAACAACACCACAGCTATAAAAATAACCAAAGGGGGTCACTCCAGAGTCCACAGATAGCTGACAACTCGCGGATCTCTAAGACTATTGATGTTCTTATCTGCAAGCAAAAGATATAAGTGGACACCCTCACATTCAAGGTTTTCTAATGTTCTAAAGAGTTCATAGAGAGATTAGAAACATAACCGTCTCATAACGTTTTACAGATACTGATGTCACTAAAATTCTGCAGAAAAGCTGCAGGTCCACCAGAAAATGAAGACGAACAAATACCAGCTCCATTTTAGACATACAAACCAAAGGCAATATCAATCAGTTTTCCATGCATTGAATGTTAAAATTAAATGTTTCTTGTATAATAAAAAAACAGCCATATTACCCAATATAGGTTAATCTAACATAAATGAGGTACAGTATATGATCAGCACGGTTTTCAAAGAAAAAAAAACACTTTGTATCATTTGAGTTTCTCTGACGTCAATAAAAGGTGAAGTTGAATTTTTTCTGCTTGATGACCAAAGCACCAAAAGTCACAGTAGGTCAAAGTTTGCAACAGAAATATACAAAGAGGTGAAATAACAATTAAACTAATTAAAATCATCACGTTTGGCTCTCAGCTGACTAAAACCAGCATCTTTTTTGTTCTCTCTCTTCCTCTGTGTGCCTTTGTATCTGTTCAATTAAGAAACACAAAAGAACCATTAATGCTAAGTCAGCCATAAAAATGTGTCGTGCATCTATTCCTAAAATGATATCAGTAGATGAAGCAAAAAAAAAGAACTGTGATAACCAAAATGACTTTGTAAATATGCAAAAGTGAAAGGTTTAATCAAAGGTCAAAGGTCATGTGCTTTCCTCTCCTCTTCCACAGTCCCCCCCCCCCCCCCCCCGTTCCACTTACCTGTGTTAGTTGTGTGACTGGGTGCCTTTATGGGGTCCGTGCAGATTTGACAGAGTAGGTTTCCTTCCCTCCGTCTCAGCGTGGTTTCTCTGGCTACGTGGAGGTTGGAGGCAGTAGCTCTTATAGGGACCCACCCCTTCACTTCTACCTCCTCCTCTGATTCTCTCTCCCTCCTTTTCCAAAGTCCCCTCTTTATTATATACTGGGAGAGAAAAACACAAAAAAGAAGGGGGTAGGTAATAGACGGGGGCCCGGGGGTGAAGGAGATGGGAAGTACACAGGGAGCGTAGCAAGGAGGGAAAGAAATAAGGAAGAACAAATTCATCGAGAGAGGGGACAGGGAGCATAGATTATTAGAGAACGAGGAACGGCTCCAAAGGAAATAAATTATTCTCTATTCCGCAATAAAATAGAATAAAAAATACAATGACATATTAACCACCCAAAAGATGATGTCCCAATTCATTGAAAAATCATTTCATTCTTCCCTCATGATACAGGTGTAATTGGCATATTTATCCAAATACCTTTATATTTATTTACATTTTCCTATCTCATCTTCGACATTCAAAGAATATTAAATTGACTCAGACCTAAAGTTCAGTTTAATGATAAAAACTAATTAAAATTATCAGAATATTGATTTTGCCTTAAAATGACTAAAACGTAACTTGACATCTTTGCCCTATTTAGTGTGTGTATAGGATTATGCTAAGGTTCTGCCTTGATCTTCAGTACTTTCAGGCCGCATAGCAAAACTGCTTAAGTAGCCAGCTCCCCCACCTCACCTCTGTGCGTCTTCTGTGGCAGTTTAAAGGAATTAAGTACAATTATTGCTGCTTCTTGGCTAAAAAGCCCGGGTTTAGCTCAATACACTTCAGTAAGCAAGCCTGATCATTATTAGCTGTTAATGTTTTCTCAGCATTTTGTGCAGCAAAATGATGGATTTATCTGTTGGATATCAGTCGATGGATTTGGTGCCTTGATAAAGACCCACAATCTGCAGCAAAAATCAAACACATTGTTTAGAAGCAATTACATTGTTTGGCACCTTCGGTGTCACATTGCCAAACTAGTCCAATATCTCAAATAGAAAAACAGAACCCAGAGATGAATCACTCCATTTTAAGTGACAGTTGAGACCAATGTGTAAAACATATATATATATATATGTATACTTACAGTTGATTTTTTTTCTTTTATCAAAGAAAATTACTTGGTTCAATAGATGTAAAAACGCCGATCCTTATTAGGATAATTATTCATGATCTTTCCTTCTGTTTATTCACTCTTACACCTTAAGCCAAATGAAAACCAGACAAGTTTGACACATGGTACGCTCCCATAATCATAGTATGATATTATGAATAATAAAATGTATTATTTTGTTGTCTACTGATGTGCATGAGGTGTCAATGTTATATACTGTATATATATTTGCCGAACACAAAAAAGTTGATTTATTAGCATGTGGCCGACACCAACAATTAGAATACCCCACATTATTAGTCTCTACGATTGAGAACTGTGCCTCATACATGTTTGTCAAATTCAATGTGTGGAGGTATTCACCAGCCTCTCCTACAAGATGTTGTGGGAGTGACAGTCAGATGTCCCCCAACCTCTAATCAGGAAGTGGCAGGACTATATTACTGTCATTCTGCTACAGAAAGAAAAATCAATGCTGGAAACAAAAGA